TCGTAGAGACTGAGCTGGCAGCAAGCAAGCAAGCAACGAGTATATGGCGTATCGGAGCAAACACCTCTGCATGCATCGTAGAGACTGAGCTGGCAGCAAGCAAGCAAGCAACGAGTATATGGCGTATCGGAGCAAACACCTCTGCATGCATCGTAGAGACTGAGCTGGCAGCAAGCAAGCAAGCAACGAGTATATGGCGTATCGGAGCAAACACCTCTGCATGCATCGTAGAGACTGAGCTGGCAGCAAGCAAGCAAGCAACGAGTATATGGCGTATCGGAGCAAACACCTCTGCATGCATCGTAGAGACTGAGCTGGCAGCAAGCAAGCAAGCAACGAGTACATGGCGTATCGGAGCAAACACCTCTGCATGCATCGTAGAGACTGAGCTGGCAGCAAGCAAGCAAGCAACGAGTATATGGCGTATCGGAGCAAACACCTCTGCATGCATCGTAGAGACTGAGCTGGCAGCAAGCAAGCAAGCAACGAGTATATGGCGTATCGGAGCAAACACCTCTGCATGCATCGTAGAGACTGAGCTGGCAGCAAGCAAGCAAGCAACGAGTATATGGCGTATCGGAGCAAACACCTCTGCATGCATCGTAGAGACTGAGCTGGCAGAAAGCAAGCAAGCAACGAGTATATGGCGTATCGGAGCAAACACCTCTGCATGCATCGTAGAGACTGAGCTGGCAGCAAGCAAGCAAGCAACGAGTATATGGCGTATCGGAGCAAACACCTCTGCATGCATCGTAGAGACTGAGCTGGCAGCAAGCAAGCAAGCAACGAGTATATGGCGTATCGGAGCAAACACCTCTGCATGCATCGTAGAGACTGAGCTGGCAGCAAGCAAGCAAGCAACGAGTATATGGCGTATCGGAGCAAACACCTCTGCATGCATCGTAGAGACTGAGCTGGCAGCAAGCAAGCAAGCAACGAGTATATGGCGTATCGGAGCAAACACCTCTGCATGCATCGTAGAGACTGAGCTGGCAGCAAGCAAGCAAGCAACGAGTATATGGCGTATCGGAGCAAACACCTCTGCATGCATCGTAGAGACTGAGCTGGCAGCAAGCAAGCAAGCAACGAGTATATGGCGTATCGGAGCAAACACCTCTGCATGCATCGTAGAGACTGAGCTGGCAGCAAGCAAGCAAGCAACGAGTATATGGCGTATCGGAGTAAACACCTCTGCATGCATCGTAGAGACTGAGCTGGCAGCAAGCAAGCAAGCAAGCAACGAGTATATGGCGTATCGGAGCAAACACCTCTGCATGCATCGTAGAGACTGAGCTGGCAGCAAGCAAGCAAGCAACGAGTATATGGCGTATCGGAGCAAACACCTCTGCATGCATCGTAGAGACTGAGCTGGCAGCAAGCAAGCAAGCAACGAGTATATGGCGTATCGGAGCAAACACCTCTGCATGCATCGTAGAGACTGAGCTGGCAGAAAGCAAGCAAGCAACGAGTATATGGCGTATCGGAGCAAACACCTCTGCATGCATCGTAGAGACTGAGCTGGCAGCAAGCAAGCAAGCAACGAGTATATGGCGTATCGGAGCAAACACCTCTGCATGCATCGTAGAGACTGAGCTGGCAGCAAGCAAGCAAGCAACGAGTATATGGCGTATCGGAGCAAACACCTCTGCATGCATCGTAGAGACTGAGCTGGCAGCAAGCAAGCAAGCAACGAGTATATGGCGTATCGGAGCAAACACCTCTGCATGCATCGTAGAGACTGAGCTGGCAGCAAGCAAGCAAGCAACGAGTATATGGCGTATCGGAGCAAACACCTCTGCATGCATCGTAGAGACTGAGCTGGCAGCAAGCAAGCAAGCAACGAGTATATGGCGTATCGGAGCAAACACCTCTGCATGCATCGTAGAGACTGAGCTGGCAGCAAGCAAGCAAGCAACGAGTATATGGCGTATCGGAGCAAACACCTCTGCATGCATCGTAGAGACTGAGCTGGCAGCAAGCAAGCAAGCAACGAGTATATGGCGTATCGGAGTAAACACCTCTGCATGCATCGTAGAGACTGAGCTGGCAGCAAGCAAGCAAGCAACGAGTATATGGCGTATCGGAGCAAACACCTCTGCATGCATCGTAGAGACTGAGCTGGCAGCAAGCAAGCAAGCAAAAAGTATATGGCGTATCGGAGCAAACACCTCTGCATGCATCGTAGAGACTGAGCTGGCAGCAAGCAAGCAAGCAACGAGTATATGGCGTATCGGAGCAAACACCTCTGCATGCATCGTAGAGACTGAGCTGGCAGCAAGCAAGCAAGCAACGAGTATATGGCGTATCGGAGCAAACACCTCTGCATGCATCGTAGAGACTATGGCATATGAAGCTGACTGAATGCTGCAAGGAACATGGCATGTGCTCCTGAGTGAATCGTGCCAAGCACATGGCATGTGCTGCGGACTGTATTCTACAAAGCACATGGGACTTAATGCTGACTGCATATGAACACGACCCTCCCTGCCATCTCTGCCTTCCCTGCCCTCCCTGCCATCTCTGCCTTCCCTGCCCTCCCTGCCATCTCTGCCTTCCCTGCCCTCCCTGCCATCTCTGCCTTCCCTGCCCTCCCTGCCATCTCTGCCTTCCCTGCCCTCCCTGCCATCTCTGCCTTCCCTGCCCTCCCTGCCATCTCTGCCTTCCCTGCCCTCCCTGCCATCTCTGCCTTCCCTGCCCTCCCTGCCATCTCTGACTTCCCTGCCCCCCCTGCCCTCCCTGCCCTCCCTTGGCCCTCCTTGCGCCCCCTGTCCCTTAAACACCCATGCACCTCCCATCTCACCTGGTGGACGGTCCTCGCCAGGTGGTGTTTCATCACAATGCATGCACTCAACTGACAGGCAAACTAGTAACCCTTTCTCCCTTGCCTAACTGCCCCGCTACCACCACCCATTCACCACGCACCTGCTGAATGGTTCTCGCCAGATGATGCTTCATCACAATGCATGCCTCAAACGGGAACTGGTTCACATAAGGCTCTTGCTCTCCCTTGCCGCTCCTCTTCTTCAGCCCAGCCGCCTGTCTGAACGCATCGTCCACCTGCATGCTCGTCCATATGATGTCCGCCTCGCTGGCGTTGTCAACTGGGGAAAGAGGGGGGAGAGGAGAGCAGGAAACACCAAAACACAGCACAGTGCGCATGGGAGAGTAGAGAGTGATTGCCAAACAGTGTGATGTGATAAATTTTTACTTCTTGTGCAGAATTTCAATGGCGGAGAAAAAACACACCCAAAAAAACAAACAATAACGAACAATCAAAGAAAGAAAAAAAAAGACAACAAAACAAAGCAACGACGTGTGACAGGTCTGTCGGGAATGAAAATCAGATTTACGGGCGTAGAGAATAGATGCGGTGATTACGTGGTAGCGGGTTAGCTGGATATCAACTTAACATGTTCTCGAGGCGGGAGAGGGTGTCACGGACATGCGAAACATCACTAAACACACGACACACGCGCTTCCTTGCTTGCCCTGCTTGCCCCTTGCTCCCTCTGCTTCCCTGCTTGCCCCCTCCTCCCTCTGCTTCCCCTTGCCCCTCCCTCCCTCTGTGCTCACCCCACTTGCCCCTCCCTCCCTCTAAATGCTCCAAACACTCACCGAATGTGAACTCGGGGCGGGAGAGTTCTCGGGGGCATGGGGCAGATCGCTGAACGCTCGATACACTCGCTTCCAAGGCTTTCAATGCTTTCCCCTCCCTTTCTCTGCTTCCCCTCCTTACCTCTACCCCCTCTGCTTGCCCCTCCCCCTCTGCTTGCCCCTCCCTTTGTCCTAGACACTCACCGAATGTGAACTCGGGGCGGGAGAGGTTGCCAAGAACCTGGGGCAGATCGCTGAACACTCCATACACCCGCTTCCCTGCTTCCCCCTTCTCCTGCCTCTCTGCCCCCTTTGGCCCCTCTGAATTCTCCGGCTCTTCCGGCCTGTTTGGCACAAGTGCTGCTGCAGTCGCCTCTCCTTCTGCTGCTGCCTTGTCCTCCTTAGTGTCAGATTCAGTAGAAGCAAGGAGAGTGGTTGCTTCTGCATGCTTCGCAGCTGCTGCTGCAAACTTGCATAGGCGCTGCTCATAGGCCTGGGGTGTGTGGGGTGGAGTGGGATGGGTTGGGATGGGTAGTGGGGTGAGGTGGTGGTTTGGGGGTGGAGGAGGGTTGTGGGGTGAGTGAGGAAGAGGCATTACAAGCTCAAATGGTTCTACGAACCTGCACAAGCAATACTTGTAGGCCAGGGGTGGGGAGGAGTGTGATAGGCTAGAATGGAGTGTTGATGGGTTGTGTGCGGTGGGAAGAGTTGTGATGAGGGGAGGGAGTGAAGGGGGGATCGTGAGGTCAGGGGGGATGCTCTTGGGGAAGAGTTGATGCTGCTGCGAACCTGCACAGACACTGCTAGTATGGCTGGGGTAGGAAAGGCAGTGGCAGTGGTAGATGATGGGGTGTGTGTGAGATGGGATGGGATGTGGGGAAAGATGGTCGCTGCTGCCCTTTGAATCTACTAGAATGCAAGGCACGTGGGGTGTGGGCATGTGGTGGACCGTGGAACCACATGGGCAGCTTGGCCGATCACTGCTGCTGCCCTTAGGTTTACTATACAATGGAGTCACGCGTGGTTTAATATGCCTGCTGCAAGGAGTGAGAGTCTGCATGTTTCCTGCAAGGAGCTCGAGGCCGTGTGCTGTGGAACCATGCAGACAGCTTGGCCGCTGATGGCGTTAACATAGACTAAGAAAGGGAGAAGATAGAGTCCGCATACTTGCTGGAAGGAGCTTGTGGGCGTGAGACAGCTTGGCTGAGCGCTGCTGCTGCCTTTAGGAGGATTGACAAGACAGGAAAAGGGAGCGAGAACAGTTGGCGTACTTGCTGGAAGGCGCTCGAGGGCGTGTGGAACCACACGGCCAGTTTGGCGGAGCGCTGCTGCTCCTCCCCCACCCCGGCGAGATAGTCCCTCGTGCACTCCTCCCCCTCCTGCACTGCTGCCACTGGCCACACGAGCGAGTAGCTGGGGGGGAACATGGGGGACAAGAGAGGAGAGAACAGAGGGAGCAGATAGAGGAGATTGGTGTGAACATGATGAGGGGATGAGAGAGAGAGTCGATCCTCCCCCACCCCCCCGAGATGTCCCTCGTGCACTCCTCTCCCGCCTGCACTGCTGCCAGCGGCCACACAAGTGAGTAGCTGAAGGGGTGGAGGAGAGGGAGGGAGGGCAGGGCAGGGCAGGGCCAGGGAGGGCAGAAAGAGGGGAGATATGTGAGAATGTCTGGACTGCTGAATATCAGAAAATGTGGTAATATTCCCCTGCACTGCACCCCAGCGAATCACCTGACAACAACTCACCTCCGGGAGAATGATCGGACAACACAACACACCCACCTGACAGCACAACACACCCACCTGACAGCACAACACACCCACCTGACAGCACAACACACCCACCTGACAGCACAACACACCCACCTGACAGCACAACACACCCACCTGACAGCACAACACACCCACCTGACAGCACAACACACCCACCTGACAGCACAACACACCCACCTGACAGCACAACACACCCACCTGACAGCACAACACACCCACCTGACAGCACAACACACCCACCTGACAGCACAACACACCCACCTGACAGCACAACACACCCACCTGACAGCACAACACACCCACCTGACAGCACAACACACCCACCTGACAGCACAACAACACCCACCTGACAGCACAACACACCCACCTGACAGCACAACACACCCACCTGACAGCACAACACACCCACCTGACAGCACAACACACCCACCTGACAGCACAACACACCCACCTGACAGCACAACACACCCACCTGACAGCACAACACACCCACCTGACAACACAACACACCCACCTGACAACACAACACACCCACCTGACAGCGGAGGCGAAGGAGCCATGGGGAAGGAAGAGGAAGGGCGCACAGCGGAAGTTGGGGCGGTCGCTGTGGCGGAAGGCACTGCCGAACTCGTCCATCACGTACCTGGGGGGAGGTGGGACGGGGGAGTGGGGGGGGGTATGTGAGGGTGGAGTGGGGGGGTGTGTGGAGTGAGCGTGTTGGGGATGGAAGGCACTGCCGTACCTGATGGGAGGTGGGAGGGGTGGGGGAGGGAGGGGAGGTGCGGGAGGAAGGGGGAGGGAGAGACGATGATTGGGGGGGGGAGGAGGAGCATGCGTTGAGGCGTGCGGGGGGCGGGGCACTGGTAAACTCGTCCATGCTGTGCCTAAGATGTGGAGGGGAGGGGTGAAAGGGCGGGAGGAGTGCGTTGAGGAGTGGCGGCAAGGCACTTGTAAACTCGGCCATGGCGTGCCTGGTGGGGGTGGGAGGAAGCGGGAACAGGTGGATAAGTAAAGAGGACGGTAAGAGGGAGGAGAAGGAGGATATGGCATGCAGCACCAAGCAAACCTAGACAGTGCTTGGACAATCGGGGAAGATACAGTGCGGTGCAGAGCACTGCAGTGCAGCGCAGTGCGGTGCAGTGCGGTGAAGTGTGCAGCAGTGCTCACATACTCACCACACAGCACTCTCGTCCAGCTGTGTCTCAGTGGCGAGCTTGTAGCTGCACACGTGGCGCCACATGGCATGCAGCACTCGATCCACCAATGGCGTGCCGGGCGGCCAGGCTGGCAGGCGAGGAAACATCCAGGAACCTCCCCGCATGAAGGAGGAGATCAGAGCGCCGTTGAGGGAGGAGAGGCGGGGGAGAGTGGAGGCGGTGTTGTATGGATCGAAGGGGAAGGGGCCTTCTAGGTCTACCTGGGAATGACAGGGCAGGAGGGGATGATGGGGGAAGGGGTGGTGGAACGAGAGAGAGATGGAGGGGAGGGGAGTTAGCGCTGCTTGACGTGGGTCACGGGGGGGGGGGATCCTTCCAGGGCTCAATAGGAACGAGAGCAGAGGGAGGGAAGGGAAGAAGCAGGAAGAGAGAAAAGTGCCATTGATGGATGAGAGGTGGGAGAGAGTTGAAGCAGTGTCGTGCGGCTCGAAAGGACAGGGATGAAAGAAGGGAGGTGGGTGGGGGCAGAAAAGGGGTGGAAGAAGTCTGATTCTGAAGCGCCTATTTAGAAAAGGCCGGCTTTAAGCCCTGCCATGCCAGCAACTTCAAGAAGACAGGTGAGTTTTGAGGCGCCTCAACACTCGAAAGGGCTGCTTCACGAAGAAAAGGTAACACCCTGCAACTTCAAGAAGAAGGGATGCCGGGGGTCGAAAGGGGTGGTGTGGTGGAAGGAGAGGTAGTGAGCAAGCATAGTGGGGGGAGCACATCAGAGTGGTGCGGTGCTCTCCGGGTGCATCATATGGGTTGACAAAGAAAGGACCAGTATCAGGTCCAACTGGTGACGTGGAGGGGAGAGCATAGGAGCAGCGCACAAGGGAGGGGAGAATGTTTGCGCTAGGGAGGTGAAGTGTGGTAGAAGAATGAGTTTTGCTGTGCTGAGTATGGATGACCGTGGAAAGGGCCTTCCAAGTCCACTTGGAAAAGAAAGGGCAGAAGGGAAATGGGGCGTTGGGGAGAAAAGAGGGAGGTGAAAACAGAGGAGAGCAGAGTGGGAGGGAAGCGAGGAGATGAAAGAAAAGAGGGAGGGCTTGGGATAAAATCACACGACAATGTGAGGGGTGAGATGGGAGAGATGTTTGGGGAGACGAGAGCGGCGACGAGACAAAGGGGAGAGAGGCGAGCTTAGGAGACTATGCTAAAGGGGCGAAATGACTCGAGAGGCGACTTTTAAAGTGCCTCAAAAGGCGAGCTTAAGAGACTATGCTAAAGGGGCGAAATGACTCGAGAGGCGACTTTTAAAGTGCCTCAAAAGGCGAGCTTAAGGGACTATGCTAAAGGGGCGAAATGACTCGAGAGGCGACTTTTAAAGTGCCTCAAAAGGCGAGCTTAAGAGACTATGCTAAAGGGGCGAAATGACTCGAGAGGCGACTTTTAAAGTGCCTCAAAAGGCGAGCTTAAGAGACTATGCTAAAGGGGCGAAATGACTCGAGAGGCGACTTTTAAAGTGCCTCAAAAGGCGAGCTTAAGAGACTATGCTAAAGGGGCGAAATGACTCGAGAGGCGACTTTTAAAGTGCCTCAAAAGGCGAGCTTAAGAGACTATGCTAAAGGGGCGAAATGACTCGAGAGGCGACTTTTAAAGTGCCTCAAAAGGCGAGCTTAAGAGACTATGCTAAAGGGGCGAAATGACTCGAGAGGCGACTTTTAAAGTGCCTCAAAAGGCGAGCTTAAGAGACTATGCTAAAGGGGCGAAATGACTCGAGAGGCGACTTTTAAAGTGCCTCAAAAGGCGAGCTTAAGAGACTATGCTAAAGGGGCGAAATGACTCGAGGGGCGACTTTTAAAGTGCCTCAAAAGGCGAGCTTAAGAGACTATGCTAAAGGGGCGAAATGACTCGAGAGGCGACTTTTAAAGTGCCTCAAAAGGCGAGCTTAAGAGACTATGCTAAAGGGGCGAAATGACTCGAGAGGCGACTTTTAAAGTGCCTCAAAAGGCGAGCTTAAGAGACTATGCTAAAGGGGCGAAATGACTCGAGAGGCGACTTTAAAGTGCCTCAAAAGGCGAGCTTAAGAGACTATGCTAAAGGGGCGAAATGACTCGAGAGGCGGCTTTTAAAGTGCCTCAAAAGGCGAGCTTAAGAGACTATGCTAAAGGGGCGAAATGACTCGAGAGGCGACTTTTAAAGTGCCTCAAAAGGCGAGCTTAAGAGACTATGCTAAAGGGGCGAAATGACTCGAGAGGCGACTTTTAAAGTGCCTCAAAAGGCGAGCTTAAGAGACTATGCTAAAGGGGCGAAATGACTCGAGAGGCGACTTTTAAAGTGCTTCAAAAGGCGAGCTTAAGAGACTATGCTAAAGGGGCGAAATGACTCGAGAGGCGACTTTTAAAGTGCCTCAAAAGGCGAGCTTAAGAGACTATGCTAAAGGGGCGAAATGACTCGAGAGGCGACTTTTAAAGTGCCTCAAAAGTCGAGCTTAAGAGACTATGCTAAAGGGGCGAAATGACTCGAGAGGCGACTTTAAAAGTGCCTCAAAAGGCGAGCTTAAGAGACTATGCTAAAGGGGCGAAATGACTCGAGAGGCGAGAGGCGACGAGTGATCTACTTGCGTTACCTTAGCGCCTGTCAACACAGAGCTCAGCTCACTTGCACCCACCCACCCACCAACACCAACACCCAGCAGCACCGCACTTACATGCAGAGAGCGCAGCGAGGGGAGCGAGGTGAGGGGAAGCAGCACAGAGGCGCGAGAGGCATCAATGGGGGCGAGTGGGGAGAGCGGGAGAGGGTTCTGAGAGAGGTTTATGTGGGCGAGTCCTGGGAGGAGCGATGGGGAGAAGACCTGTAGAGTCCACGAATAGCAGATGGGAAAAGATGGGTTAGGGGCAGGTTAGGGACGAGGGAAACACGGGAAACATTTTCGAGAGGAGTCAACGCAAGCAAGGGGGAAGAGAGGGAGTGGATTTAACAAGGAGGTTAATGTTTGTGAGGGCTGGGAGGAGTGTAGAGAAGAAGGCTTATAGAGAAGCAAGGAGAGTGGCATGTCAAGGGGAAAGGGAATGGGAAGGTGAAGAGGAGGAAAGGAAAGAGGAGAGGGAGAGAGCTGTGTATCAACCCAGGTCAACTCACGTCAGCCCAAGTCAAACCTCGTCCGCCCTTACTTCCATGTTTCAAACTCCGTCTCATCTCATTCGGTCACACCTCTTGCTTTAGCTCCACGATTCCCCGGTCAGACAAGTCAACTTCAGTCAACCGCGCCAGCTCAGATGCCGCCACGTCATCGTCCAACGTGGCGCGGTGAGGGCCCGCCACGTCAGCAGTGAAGAGCAGCGCCCACGTGGAATAGCGGCGGGTGAAGTGGCGGTTGAACAGCTCGAGATTGGGGAGAGATTTGACGAGAGTGTTTCTCATAGCAGCAGCAGCGGACCTGTGGGAGCATGGTGGAGGGGGGGAGAGGAGCAAGGAGCAGACCCAGAGCGCACGCAGGGAGGTGAGCGGCGAGAGCAGTGGGAAGACAGGACCGCATCATCAAGCGCTTTAAACGACCTGTGTTACTCACTCGGAGGCAGCACACGGGTTGACATTCAGCCAGAGTACACGCAGGGCGGTGAGCGGCGAGAGAAGGGAGAATGGCAGGCACATTCTTCTGAGGTTGAGAGACCCACCAGGTTCTGGAGGGTGTGGAAACAGAACCTGGTGGGATAGAACGAGGTTCCGAGTTAACAGGTGTTACTCACTCGGTGGCAGCACACGGGTTGTCATTGAGCCAGAGCGCACGCAGGGAGGTGAGAGGAGAGAGCAGGGAGGCCACTCTAGCAGTGTCTGTGAGTTTGTTTCCCCACAGGCTCAGACCCACCAGCCGCTGGCGGTGGGGAGAGGGTGGGGTAGGGCGGTGTGATTCAGGAGTGTGAGTGTGTACAACCGGAATGAGAAAGAGAAGGCCTCTCAAGCAGTGTCTGTTTGCCGGATGTCCCAGAGGCTGAGACCCAACAAGGTTCTGGTGATGAGGGGGGTACAGGGTGGTGTGATTCAAGAGTGTGAGTGTGACAATAACGGGGGATGGTGATCACTCAAGCAGTGTCTGTAAGCAGGTTGGCCCAGAGACTGAGACCCACTAGCCTCTGGAGGTGGGGTGGGGAGGGCATAGGATAGGCAAGGCAAGGGCATAGCATAGGATACACGGAGAGGTGCGAGCGTGTGACAAAAACAAGGAAAGGGGTTGATAAGTCTGGTGCGGAAGGTATAGAACGGGGATGCAAGAGGATGGAGAAAGGTCACTTGAGTAGCGTCTTTGAGTTGGTTCCCCTAAAAGCTCACATTTTCACCAGCTCCGTGCGATGGGCACTGAGGGTGAGAAACAAAATAAGAATAGGAAAAAAAATACATGGAGTTACAGACAGGTGACGTTCTGTTGACAAAGCACCTTTCCTCCCTCTGCCTGTGTACGGTGTACCCTCTAAAGGCAGTCTCGTTAGTGAGACTCACAGGGAAGCGTTCGTGCAGGTGCATGGCTGCCAGCATGTCATCGTCAATCCCCTCCCCATCCATCTCCAACCACTGCACACCGCTCTCCACCCCCCCTTCCGCCTCTCCACTTCCCGTTTCCCCATCTCTTTTCGGGATTTGAGCGTCCACAGATGCCCTTACTGCCCGCGAAATAATCTCATCAACAGAACTCTTGCCCTTGTTTTCGTCCTCTGCCGTCTCTGCGTCTCCCGTTTTCCCCTCCCCCTCCCCTTCCCCCTCCCCCTCGTCCTCCCCCCCAACGCACATGAGAGCCGCCATCCGCGCTGCCAGCTCGGGGAGGCTCTCCAGCTGCAGCAAGGAGGGGGGGGAGAGGGAGGGGGGGGGGGGGGGGGGGGGGAGGAGTGGGGGAAGGGATGGGGGGAGAAGCTGGAGTGTGCGGGGTCCCAGGCGATGCGAGGAGTTACGCGCAGCAGCACATGAGATCCGCCATCCGCGTTGCCATCCCTCCCCTCTGCTTTTCGAGAATTATCATATGTGATGTGACTCCCGCACGCTCCCCACTCCCCCCACGACGCTCTTTCCCCACACGTGCCGGCTCGCGTTCATACCCGCCTTTCCCCCGCTTCCCCCTCTCCCCCTCCCCCAACACACTCCCCCCTTGAGACGTGCCTGCTCGCGCGCCTGGCCCAATCGGAACGACCACGCGTGGTCCACCAAAAACACGTCACCCTGCGCGTCCAATCCCTGCCCGCCAGGCGTCAGCACGACGCGCCTCTGCCGCCCGCCCTCCACCTCCTCGATCGCGAATCTGCTGCCCGCATCGAATCTTTCCGCCATGATCTTCTCGAACAGTCGCGGATAGAGCTCGCGAGGTAACCCTGTAGCGAGTAACAACATTTCGTGAACTTTTACGAAGTCCTCTAAGGTTTGAATCCGTGGAGGCGGTGACTCCGCGGGCGGGGGCTCCGCCGCAGCGGCGAAGGCTTGCGCATCAGTCGGCTGCGCGCGCGTGCTCCTTGGCGGAGCGGAGTCAGCCGCGGGCGTCATTTTGGGAAATCTTCCGGTGAACTGGTGCCACGTGGAGATTGATTCAGCGGAGAGGCTCACGAGAGGAACGAAGGTCGCGGAAGGCGGTTGGCGAAACGACAGATTCGACGGATTTTACGTTTTGAATGGATAATATTCCTGGCTTTCGAAATTGTGGTTCAGCATGAGGGGTTTTGGGGGCAAAGGAGGGTTCAGTAGTGAGAAATTTGGGATATGACACATCTTCGTGTTACCGTTTCCGCCACCGTCGGTAGCTTCGCGACTTTCTTTAAAGCAGGGATGAGTTCGGTCGTGGTCACAAGCAGCTTTGTACAGTGAAATGTCGAGCACGCCGCGACTACTAGAACCTTCCACAACGCGTATCGAGCTGCTCATGTAACGCGGATTTCGTTTGACCGCTCCGTTCTCTACACACACCCATCCTAACCTATATCTGCCTCCCTCGCACACCTCTCGCCCACCA